TGAGAGCTGAACCTCGCTCTTATCAACGCGGGCGAGTGTCTGTTCGGTGCCCATATGCCTGACGTTGGCGGGGGATGGATCTGCTAAGACGTCCTTGATCACAGTCTGAATGCTTTTCGAGTCAGTATCTTCCACCTCCAGGCGACTGCTCACTCCCACGGCTTTGAGAGCTGGCTCGTGGAGTTCGAGCTCTCTTTTGTAGTTATAGCATGGCTGCTACGCCAACCTCTCTTCAGGACTTAGATTGTGAGCGTACACAAGCTCTTCCCGCGTCACTGTAGCCACGTTGTGTCCCTTTTTCTTTTTAAAGTTGGGGTTAGTGGGGCGAGTGCTGTGCTTGGTTGGGTCAGCTAAAGGGACCGAGGTGGGATAGGCCGCCCCGGAGCGAATTGAATAGCCGCTCTGAAGCTGATACTGACTTGTTCGCAGCTGCCTAGTATGTTCGAAAAGCATTTGAACCTCATAGACGCTCATCTCCTTGAGTACGATGATATAGTCCGTATCAGACCAGTCATATTCCCATGGTAATCGATGATAGTGCAATATATCAAGAGAAATGTGTGCACGCCCTATCCGTGGATACGAAGGTTGTAGCGACAGCCCAACGGGCTGAACTACAGGCGGTAGCGGATAGATTGGCGTGTCTGTAGTCTGCACTATGCCGGACGTAGCGCCTGAAGGTCCTCTGCTAACATTGGGGTTATGCCTACTATCGTGTAGGAAGTTGTGGGGCGGAATTCAATCCAGTTTTTGGCGCCCCCGGTCGTTAGGAGCCGCCGTTGCGTCCTCCGGTAGGCCAATTGGCCATTCACCGGGAGGCATGTAGGGAGCTACAAAAGGTATGAAACGGTCTCTGTATTCCACGCGACCGCGCGTGGATGACCTGGACTCTACGATCATCGACGGCTTATTGTCACGTTCCCCATAGTAGGATCTCGTCCGCGGTAGGAGTGACGGAGGGGGAGGCGGGACAAAACGTCGTGGTTGAGGCGGAAGAAACGCCGCAGCGGACACGTTGTATGTCGTTCGACTAGTGTTTAGAATTACGGTGGGACGTGGGACACGATGTTGGGGACCAGTAATACCTGAATATGACGTTACTGAGCTACGTGATGTAGTTGAGCTCCTATCAAAAGATTGACTGGAGGCGATACTGCTATCAGGAGAAGCATAGCCATCATCTTGTGAGATAATCACGGGTGAAGACCGAAGGCGTCGATCTATGCTGCCTGCTTCAGGTCTGTAGTTCGAAGAGGCCGACCCGCGATTGCTCATACTAGAAGCAGGACGCGGAAATGGAATTTCCAGGCTATATAACTGGTTGGGAGAAGGACGGGAAGGTGATGCCTCGTTCTCATGGTAAGTTGTTTTTCTCTTTGGCCTAGAAGCATGGTCAATCTCGACAATTCCGTTGCGGACCTCCATGGTTAGCGGCGGATAAACAGCTTCCCCATGGTCCGAGACCCTAGAAGGATACGGAAGGACAACACTAATGCTATGGCGTCGAGATCGATCACGTACTTCTGCTGACGATGACCGCGAGCATTCACCAGACCTCTTTCTAGTCCCTGTTCTTCTAGCCTTGTAATTGTCTAGATCACCACTCCAACTTTGGGATACTGATTCAGATCTCTTTAGGCGTGTTCTTGACGTGGACCTTATAGAAGGCTTTGGGGGAGGCGGAGAATAGTCTCTCAGATCTGCGAAGCTCCGAGCAGTGCGGAGGGCCAAGCGGCTACTTTCCCTGTCCCAGGGATCCAAGTGGTCCTTGTGCGTTTGTCCTTCTATGTACGCGGAAGCGCCAAGTGTGCCCACAAGGCCACGACTAACTGCTTCCGGTTTGTGAGGCCAGTAGGAAATCTCTCTCCTATCGCTGCCGGTGAAAAGATCGTACGTGTTCCAGCCACGGTTCCGGGTTTGTCTTATAAGAGGCTCGTTTGTGCCGCCGCCGACGTTGATATCGAAGAAGTTACGGTTTTTGATCACAGGCTTAGAGTCGAAGGACATACTCAGGCCGCTTGTCGCACGGGTGACACTGGGACGCCTGTTCCGCTTTTCTACCAAAGGTGGTGGACTCTGCATGGTAGTATTACGCACATGTGTCGGAGAATACGTGTTTCTAGATGACGCTTTCAAGGATGGGTTCTTCCTTTGCAGTTGGTCCGACTCCGTGAAGAAGCTATCCTCATTGCGACCGCCCTCCCAAGTACGGCTCACATCCATGTTGAGGAAGTTGTATTCCTATCGTAGAAGCTCGTCTAGACTCGACCAACCATGCGAGTCATCTGTCGTTAGCGGACATAGTAGAACGTCGATAGCACATCATAAGCAGAACAAAGGTTTGTACGATAGTAGGTTTCATATATTAGTTGAAAGAGAAAGAGACAGGCTTTATGATGAGAAGAAGGACATGGCCGATGACTGCTACTACCTGTCTGCCTGTGGAGGCGCCTCGCAGGACCGCAGCATGCAGAGGCTGAGCAAGATTCTGCATGGCCATCCCGCCTACCGCTGCACCCGCTATTGGGCAAGGCCATGCGAGGACGCGAAAACTCGAGGACGTGATGAGATGAAGCGATGAACACTGAATAAGGTACCGATAACAGGACCAAGATTGTTGATGAGATTAGTTCTCTTTGAGCTAGCGAACGGACGTGACTGGAGCATTTGAAAAGTTGACCGAAGGACAATTGTCAATTTTTGATGAAGAAACAGCGATGCCGTGCTCTCGGACAGAGCAATAAGCTTAGTGCATAGAAAAGCAATAAAAGAGAATGTGACCGTTTCTTGCCCTCAGCGTAAATATCATTGTCGAGATGCAAGTGTCCTTCCGGCCCGAAGAATCTCCGCTTGGTACCGAGCCCACGCTGCCGACCTGCAGATCTCGATCCTTAGCCGCTGTCAACCCGAAAATAGAACGTCGGCTCATTACCACCTATTCTCCTCACCCCAGCGCACACCACTCAACCAAAAGTGCAAAAGAAAACTTCTGAGAGCAGTACTTCCGTTGCGGGGAATCGAACCCCGGCCACATCGGAATGAGATTGAACGAATCCAAGTGCTGAGAGCGATGTATCCTAGCCACTAGACCACAACGGATTATGATGAATGTCGGGACAATCTACGGCTATAACTCACTTAACAGCATTTCCCCGAGCTGCCGTTCAAATTGCTTTCCCTGGCCTACGAAAGATTTCGGATTCTTGCCCGAGCGTACAGCATCTGTGATATGGCTCTAGGACTCCGTAAACACGCTTGGACCATTTATTGAAGCAAATCCAAGCTATTGTCTACGTCCATTA